GTTAATGGGAGGCATGACGGGCTGATGGATAATCATGGGAGGTCTAATTGATGTTGTCACGTTTGGTGACAAGCCTTTGTGAGAGATAATCAGCAGTGGATGACCTCAGGACTTGAGCTGGACCTGTTACAAGGTGCCCTGACTTGATCACATTACTGCTAAATGTCTTGCCTGTGATCATTCACCCAGAGTCTGATGGCCACTAAATATGCAAAAATAAAGAAGCAGTGACCTCCTGGAAGAATAGAACTGTGTCATCTGCATACTTTAACCATGGGGGCAAAGTGGTAATAAAAGGAGACCAGCGGTGGGTGATCACATTACTCATTTATAAATCATGCTGCTTTTCAGCTTTATGTGGTACCTTATTCTCTATTCTGGACTTTATTTTTCAACCATTGCTTGTTGTGTTGTATTCATTAACTTTTAGTCCATTGCAGTTCCAGTTTAGTAAGAGGAAAAATCGACTTTCTATGGTCATCAGCACTCAAGTAAAGCCAACGCTGTCCCAGCTCTTTTGACATTCTGAAAAAAATATGTCAATGTAAAACAAGGAACTCCAATTGCACTTTGCCTCTTTGCATAAGTCATATTTTCCTGGATTACTTTCCCAGATTTTTAAACGAACAAGCAATGTTTCAGCACTTGGTGTTCATGCTTTTGTTGAACACAGATGATTGTAACTAACGTCATAATCTGGCTCAAGTGCCATGACAAGTATGCAAAAGGACATCAGTTAACTGCAAATAATAATGATTTATTGTACGAAAGTAAACAAATGATATGAGAACTGCAAACATGGAGTGTGTCGGTCAGTAGTATGAATGTGGAGAGAGACACACCCTATGGTCCGGTTTTCATGCCCTGAGAGCAACCTGTGCTCTAAATTGGACCAGCAGAGTCCTCTAGGAATAAGAGAGACAGAACTAATTAGTAATATCCTGGTAATTAAGTCAAGGTAGTGACCGTCACAATAACAATCTGCAGAAAAGCTGCAGAAAGTATGTCTGCTGTGTGCTCACAAAGTTCAAACACTTATAGAACTTGCATACAACATTCATATTGACTGTACTGGGTTTGTGCAGTAGCATGTGCCCTGATATAAGGCACTTGAAGTGGAAATCCAAGGTTCAGGGACAGCTTCTCCATAATTTACTTTCAGGATAGAAGCCTTGTGCATCAACAGAATGGTATGTGGAATTGCTAACTTGATGTCACCTGCCAACAAACATGTTCGTGGTGTAAAATTTATAAAAACAATTTTATTGTCAACTTATCTGGTTTCCAAACAACAACGGTTGTGATCATAGTTCAAGTTTTGCAAAGTCAATGAACTAATGGAGTTATTTAGAGAAATGTCCATCCACTCCATTTACTGCCTTACTTTAATTCCCCAGGGTGCATTTAAGCAAACAAAAAACCTAAACATGTCACAAAAATAGTTAAAATGGGAGAAAAGCAACATTTGTTTTTTTTCTATTTTTGGTCAAGAGAGTAATCTATTACAGACCAACTCTCCCAGCTTTGTTGTCGCCTTCTTCTCTCTGTGGGAAGCAAAATTCACAATGAAAACAAATAAATGTGTTATCCAGAGCTGAAATCACAAATTTAGATCAGAAAATATTCCCTGCAGACCTTGTTGTATTTCTTGTAAACATCTGGACATGTCATCACATATTTGTTGTATGGTCGAGAACAATGCAGAAAACAACATGAGGAGCTCGGGAGTGACACAAAGAAGGTAAAGAAGAAGAAAGAAAGAAGTCTACTTTCAGTTTTTTTTTCTTTTTCTTCTAGCCAAAGATTTGTTGACAAAGATTAAGCGGCCAAGCATGAGCGACAACTCCTGACTTGATTGTTGTTTGCGATATGCTCAGAAGAAAAATCCCAAAACTTGTAGTTCCATTTTGAAAAATACTTTATTCCTGAAAGCCACTCCACTGTTGACAACACGGTGGAATCTGCCGTTAGAAGACTTGCTTATTGCTTTCACTGATACTCAAGGAGGATGACTCACACCGCATAGTAACCCGGGACAAAGTGTTGCTGTCACGCAAGCACTCACTTGTTATTTATCACTCTTAAAGTGGAAGCTGTTACATACCTACTCTTAACACACTCTTTGCTCTGCAGTGACCTATGAGGAATTTGATAATGACTGATTCATATGTTTGTCAATCACACTGCCTCTGATCTGTTTCTCATTCACTGCACATTGTTGGGGGATTTGCTTTATTTGATTTTTCAAACTTGTGTCTCTTTGCATGTATGTCTCTATGTCAGTGTTTCTCAACAAGTTTTCTTTTCATGAAATCAGATTAGCTTCAAAGCATTGAAAAATGTCATTAAAAGCATTTGACATTATGAAACCTTCATTTTTTTAAAGCAGCTTTGTTTGGGGTTGTTTCTGTAATTTGAAGATAGACAAAGAAGAATATTCAGACTCTAAACCTGCCTTGTGTCTTTCACAGTTATAAACTACTGGAACTAACATCAGATAATAAGAGCTCCATGGTGATAATCATCCCTGGAGTTTGACTTTGAGTTCATCCTCTATGACTGCTGCATACAATGGGAGCCATTCTTAAAGTCCCTTTAGATTCAGATAATTGATTTTAACCATTCAGTCGGAACAATACGTCTGTAATGTGAGTGAAATAATGTGAGGCAGCTGGTTGTTTGATACGCAAAATGTTTGATTTTTTTTACTCTGAACGATCATTGTTATAGACTCACATACACACATGTTCTGTCACTTCCTATCGTTTCTATAGAAAACTTCATGTCTTTTGACCACTGACCCCATTTGATAGAGATTTGGTGCCATGTGATATCACACTGTGTGCTACAACTGGCAAGATAACTGAGGTGTAAATTATCTAATCAGATTGCTGAATAAATTACTATTGATCAGACTGTGATCAAACCCCAACCATCGTTGTTCCTCTCTCTGGCTGATCAGTGTCTGAACACAACACGAAGGATAACACAGATTTTAGGGAGCTGTATCAGTCACATTTTTAAAATAAGGTTGTCGTCATTTTGCATGTCAAATATTACCAAAACTAACCAAGCATTAGCCATTCTCACTCAGTGCCTCTAAGTGCATGGTTAGCTTGACTAGGCCTTTTAATTGGACCACTGTCCTTGTCACAGTATACAAGCATGTATTCTATTCAGTATACAAGAAGTATTACCAACTCCGCTACAGTAGGTGGCGATAAACTGTATATATGCCACCAAGCCGGTTAGTCCTGAACCTTCTCCTGGCTACTATTGATCCAGGAGAAGTTGGCCTTGCTAACAAGTAAGCAAACAGGAAACTGGTTTACTTCTGGTGCAAATCTCTCTAACCTATAGTGATATCTGAAGGCAGACATCATTGTAGGCATGGGAACTATGGAGCATGCGCATCACACCAGTTTGGGTCTGATTGAGACGTATACATGCAAGACTAAATTGATCCCCAATCGCATGATCTAGGTGTGTTATTCAGACTTTGAGAAATTAAACTTTCATATCAGTCGTACTAAATTTGCAATTTAAAAGTCCAGTTTTAGTCGGACTAACACGCTCAGTCCACTTTGTCCAACTGCATGCAAATTCTAACTTTGAATTAGACATAATGGCCCTTCTTGTTCTTATCACCAAGTCCATTTGTTCTGACTGAAGACCCAGATCTTTCTCTGTCTACAAAAGGTATTATTTTTGCCGTTGATAGGTTTAGATTGTCATTGTGTTGGATATGAGCTAAACTTTCCTCGACAATAAAAATAAACCCAAGTGGTTGAACAATTATAAACAAGCAACTTCAATTTTTTGCATGTTTTAACTATTGTTTTTGTAAATCCAGTCTCTTGTCAATGAAGAGAACAATGTAACACCTGTTTCTGGTTGAAAATTGGCTTGTTATTAAAAAGGTCCTTTTTGTAGGGAATCTTTGCATAAAGCTGTCCCGCGTTAACAATCTGAGACGTTTGATGTTTTTAATAGATGTTCTTTGATACATGAGTTAATGATGCAAGGACCAAGAAGCCGAAGGAGTCACTTAAACATTTTACTGAAAGTAATACATATTGTTTGTGTTACTTTTTTTTCAAATCAAAAACTTTAAAACTTTGGTCTTTCATCCATTCTGCATGAAACCTGTTTTACGTATATTTGTCTTGAATTATTACTTTGCAGCTGTAGCATGCAGGTCGTCTTGCATCTGCCAACTCAGAAATCCCAAGTCTGTCTAAACCTACTGCACTTTCATACAGCAGAATCTCCCTTTAAATATACTTTAAAAACTAGAAACAAAGACTTACAAAGGCCCATCTTTTCTTGACATGATTATTTACAGGAGTGCTTGATGCATGGGTATCTTCGAGTTGTTCAGGGTTGGTTTTTGGTCGCAGTGTTGTTGTATATTAACTGCATGATGCATGTAGTCTAAGCTCAATAAACCACATTTCCCATATTAGTGAGATCAGAGTTACACATCATCCAGTGCAACAGTGCAGCTTTTTAAATGTGTTTTTCAATTTAAACCCAAACCAAACAATGAGGCTCTCTGGCACAGATAAATACAATCCCAAGGCTGTCTTGTTCTTGTTTTTTGTTCTCAGGAAATATGTAAAAAAATGTAGACTATTACCAGAAGCAGGACTTTACTTAAACCATTATATTAGTCCAGCTGATTATAAAAGGAAACCTCACGTCTCCTCTTTTCTTAATAAGAACTTCAGTTGAGGAGGTCAGATGCAACAAAACCATTCTGGTATTGAAGTTTGAGACACAGTAATATAACCCAACTCCATTTTCCACACAGATAGGAGCAGTGTGAGGGATTGCTGCAGAGGCCTAATAATAACTATTACTTTGATAAATTACCTTGTTTCAACCTTGTACTTCATCTTTACCTCCAATGCAAACAGCAGCAGCTGTTCAAATGACTTTTTTTTAAGGTGGACTGTTCTACTTTTGCAAGCATTTGTTAATGACATTTGCCGTTTTTAAGAAATATAGGTTTTTATTGATAGGAAGAAACGATAACAGCTCATGATAACAGTTGAGAGTAAAACTTGGTCTGAGGAAACCAAACAGTTGGATTTTCTTTCATCCCGGTCGGATTCCACAAGAATAACTCTTATCTTCAATTTTAAAGAAAGTGTCTCCCAGAGGAATATATTTGTCTTTTTAGTGTGTTAAAACAAAACAGTATGGAAACACAGTGTAATGCATAAGTTTGGTCATGAATCATAAATGTGTGTTTTGGTCGTATGATGCCTTGTATCTTTTTTTTCCTTGAGGGCTAGTTCTAATAATAGGGGCTCCATATTTGTCCATGGGAAAGGACCGTCCCTAGATTAAACAGATTCACCTCTGAAACATTTGTAGCCACTGCTGTGTTTGAGTTACCAAGTCCTATGTCTCTGCTGTGGTCAAGGCACGTGTAAAGTCTTACTGTGAAGCACCTTTGCAGCCCAGCTCTGTGTTATAGTCCATAGCATTTCTCATTCCTTTTTATAGACTTTTTTTTTTTTCCTTTAGAAGAAGACTTCTTTCAATAAATAACACAAATATATTCATATGTCATATATAGATAGATAAACATGTATAAACTACATGCATTTCATATAATTTAAATAATTTATATTTACATATCCCCCCTACACACGCACTCACTTCCTCCCTCCCCGACCCCTCTTAAACAAGTTCTTCCGTCAACAGCGGGTGCCGCACTGTTTCGTGGATTTGCAGCACATTAACATGAAATATCATATATGGACCCATGGTTTCTTCAGTGAAAGTATCGTTTTTTAGCAGAAAGTTGCTCTTAACCACCGTGACACATAATCCTGTGGTGGGAGCACTGTGCACAGGAAATAGATCCTTAACAGGGAATATAATCCAAACAGGTAGTCCTCAGCAGGGCGTGTGTGGTAATGATTACGTCCTGTGACGTTTCCTTGACAACGCACAGACGCAGGAAGTGTCTATGCGTATCCACCTCCAGCCCACCGAATTCCGAACCTGAGTCAGCGCTCGAACGTATGTCTGTGTCGTCTTGCACTGCGAGTTCCAGTTCTTGTCGTCAATACCCCTGCAGCCACCTTTAAACGGCCTTGGGGTCCGACAGCGTGTCTCATAAAAGTACTGTTTGATGTCCTGCGTGGCACTGGTTTTAATTTTGGCCAGAACAGTAACAGGGTCCCCCCTGGTGTCCATAGCGTGGGTTTTATCCGTCACCCACTGGCTTTCGCTGTCACACACAGAATATTCCCCCCTGTAGCTCTTGTGCTCGGCGTATCGCTTCTTTCGCGTCTTGTTTCCCGCCGCAGCGCTGTCTACAAAATCGTCCGCGAGGTACAGTGGGGGAGGCTGCAGTGGCGGCCGGTCACTTAGCAGCACCCGAGGTGAGTTGTACCGCTTGTGCTGCCTGAGAATGTCCGAGTTCAACAACATCACCTCCTGGTCAATAAAGTCTTCACTGCTCCCACCACTGCGACCCTCCGTCCCCCACTGATCCGCATCGTTCTGCTCCTCCAGCGGAAAGTTTTCACTGAGTAGAGGAGGCAGTGTGTCCTGGGGCTCGCTGTGTCGACTCTTCCCCTGTTGGCTCTGGTTCCCCCGGGTCCTGCCCTTCGTCAGGTCGGCCTGAAGCAGCTGGATGATCAGGGAGTTTAAGGGGTCGGGACTTGCCTGCTGTTGTCCCTGTTGACTGCTGTCCATGGTGGTTGCCTGGATACCATAGAGGTACACGAGGACCATCACATACAGCAGGATGGACATCACTAGATTCACCTGTAAGATCTGCAAACACAAAGAGAGAGAACTTTTAAGGGTTATGCAGGGTTATGTCTTTCTTACAGAGACTAGACTAGATCACTATCTTGTTTTTCTTGGACCAGAAGTGGTAACCAGTAGTCACGTCACTGAGTTAAGTTATGACTTGTGAAATACAGGTAGTCATGCCCTACAGCAAATCATTCTACAGTGTGGAAAACTACTGGTTGAGACCATAAACTTGTTCCAGATTTTTTTTTTCTCTGTGCCTTCCAAGGGGCTAAAAGTTAAAAGGGGGAGGGGTTGAAATGAGGCAAAGGTAGGACAAGGTCAGCAATCAGAGCAGCAGCAGTGACTAAAACATACAGCTTAGGGAGAATATGAAAGTCCTTTTAAACTATTTTCCCAATTGGTGCAAACTGCACCTTGCACCTGTACTCTGTTGGAACTGAACACAAGTTATTAGATTTGGTCAGACTCCTCAAAGTCACAATTATCTTTTTGTGAAAATCCAAATAAAAAATCACAGAAATAAGACGATCCCCGCGTCTCCTGAACTTGCCCGAAGGGGATTTTCTAAGGGGTGAAGTGTGTAAGTCTCGGGGGGATTTGTGGGAACCTCTGGCTTGAACTCGTCAAACCGCAATGTAAATAACAGCAGCAGCAGTGTGTGACTGTGTATGTAAGAGTGTGTGTGAAGCTTAGAATGGAAACACTCCAACGGGAACTAACCTGCAGCTACATGTACAACATACCATGCAGCCATTAAACACCCATCATTTTGTTCCGAGTAATACATGCAAGTGCATTTAAAAAGGGGAAAAACGAGACCTGAATCCAACATTTGCACACTATGTTTTGTTGCCATTCCTCTTTAAACGTGTAAATTATGTTCATCGAGGTGAAAGACATTTCTTGGTTTTAGAGTAAATGTGATATGTACTCGTTTGAGAGGTAGTTTTTTTTTTTGAACGGGAAAGTTGAATCTCTGGACCAGCTGGATGATTCTTCGAGGTAACACCCTGCTTCATTTGAAAGCTGCATTTTCAACAATGTTAACGAACCAGCCTCTACCTGAAGCGGCTGTTCATACTACAGTTTATTGTTTTTGGCTGAGCTTATTCTAAGGCTTCTGTCCTGTCAATGGTGCCAATTACTCTTTAACATATCAATCAAATACGCCCAATGATAGAACAAGCTTTATCAGTGTGTTTGGATGCTAATTTTCACTTCCACAGAGCTCAAAAATTCTGCTATGATCAGCAGGACGAGCACCATGTCTGGGAGATTTTTCTAAAGTGAATGCTAAAATGAGATGTAATGAAGCCACATATTCATTCCCAATCAGCACGGGCCAGGGAGCTGGTGGTGGGGTAAGCCTTAAGGAGGTGTTACAAACGTGGAGTAGTTCTCAGAAAACTGTATGCCTTTTTCTTTTCCTGAAGGAAAGCTTACTGACAAAGCCTCATTCAGCAACTTCAAAAAATTAGCAAAATCCAGGAAGTCTCTCAATAATGGCTATGAACAGTTTCACTGATGGGAAACTTGGTTGGAATGGAGCGCCATGTCATCCATTCATTTGATTAGCCTATATAGCTTTCAAATTCAGTCTGGAAATTTCTCCCACCTGCAAACTTGCAATGACAAATATTTCAGCCACTAGAGGGCAGTGAAAATAACCTTTTAACTGTGCAGTAAGTGATGACGTAATATGAACATGCCTTCAAAGTTGTATGGTAAACCTTTTAGCTAGTTAGCTTATTTTAGCAGCCATGAGACACACAGCAACTTATGTCATGTGTGTGGCCACCCATACAACAAACTATTTATTTTTTTTCATCTCCACCAAACTTAAAGAGTGTACAAGCTGCTCAATGCAACACAATGTTCACAGGCTAGCTCACAAGAACTTTAAAATTAAAACAGATGCCATTCATAACACAACACTGTCTGATGTCGGGGCTGATAAACAATTAACAGTGTTCCCTTTCAAAAGGGACAAAGTCAAAGAACAAACTTGACTTCTCTTCCAAACATGATAATTATAGTATTTACACAGATAAGCAGGTGGTGATGCAGATTGTAATGTGATACACACACACACACACACACACACACACACACACACACACACACACACACACACACACACACACACACACACACACACACACACACACACACACACACACACACACACACACACACACACACACACGTTCTCTGGATGTCTTTCAGAGAGCGGAGGAGAAAGAAAGGTGATAATGGACAAAACAGACGGCTTTGAACAAAAACACGTGACTTGTTCCCGTCAGTGATGTTACAGCTGGATGAAAGCTGTTGTATTGAGGGGCATCTGTTCATCAGCAATGTCACCTTACAATCAATGGCTCAGAAAAAAAACATGTTCGCACAAAAGCACGCTCACACATGCTAATAGCTTTCTTCATCTCTACAAACTACACAAAACACACATACATACACACACACACACAAATGCCTACTTCAAAAACTTGCAAAGACTTTAACTGTGCATGCAAGAATCGGACAGCAAAACTAGGAAATGGCGGGGAAACCTATTTGAGGTAGCATACAGTTAGTAAACGACAGCATCACTGCCCAAAGTTCAGGATATTTTATGAGGAAGAATTCCAAAAAATGCTGAATTTTATCAGATGTTACGCAGCTAACTTGAAGTATGAAATATTGTTGATATGGACAAAAAAACAAACGCTAATAATTTTCATATCAAACACCTAACTTTCAAAATGAATTAAAATTTTGGAGGGAATTCATTATTCATTTCACATTTGACATCAAATACTAAGAAAACACATTGATATATAGCTACATGCTTTGAAAAACATGACTATCACATGACCATAAAAACACATCAAGTTTCATTCAGACTGATATTCCTCGACATCAGAGTAAAAGCCAGAGGCAGAATGGTGGTCAAACTTGTTCCTGTGCTGAGCTGACAGCAGAAGAAGTAACAGAGGCGTGACAGCGCTGCATTGTTTGTTTGCACCTCATGCTTCTTTTGCTTCAACACACCGTCTTCACCCCGTGAACACTCACACACTGGGACACGATTATTATGTCATAGTGTGGTTCACTGTACAACTACAAAGATGGGCTAACAGCAGAGCAGTCGTAATGCATGGTGTGTGTAAGTGTCCTGTGAATCTGTCGTGTCCTCCTGCAGCTGTTGTCAGTCTAAACCTGTCGATAACTGCTTGTCTGAGCAATTATACACACAGGACAATATCTATAAAGCAGCGTAGATAAATCAAAATATGAGAGACTTCAGTGCACTTAATCAAACTGTAAATAACATTCCTACCAAGATGCCAACAGTCTCAAAAAATATTTCATTCTCAAAGTAGAAAACCTACATTTTTCTCCTGTTAATAACACATGCACTCGCACACAAACAATGTCAGATACAGATGATCCATCCTTAAACTAAGTATTAAAATGTTTAAATTACTCATTAATCAACACACATGCAAGTGTTCAATGGGAAATCTGAGGCAGAACCTATTTATTTCATGCATTCCTTATTTTCAAAGCCTGGCCCATTCATTACCACAAGGTAATGTCGCCTTTAGCTGCTAGCCTAAAGCAGAAATCTGGAGAGGGGGCACAGAGTTTGTCAGCTGTCTTTACTCGACACCCTCATTTATTTCTGTTCAGGACATTTGTCAGGCTTCATATCGATTAAACAAGCAGCAATAATATTTTCATAACTCTTTTGTAAGCTGGATCATAGTTTTCCTAATAATTATGCTTTAACACATAAAACTTCAGTTACCAGTGGACAAGTTTGATTTGAGCTGTCTCATGAGATTGTTATTCTAAGCAAAGCATTTATTCATCATGACTTTTTATTAGTAAAAAAGTTAGCTAAGCTAGCATTAGCACTCGGCCATGCTAATATTTTAAACTTTATGAATAACAAATCCAATTAAAACACAAAATTGTCCCTTTGAAAACACTGATCTCTGTATTTTGTTGAAAATAAAGCAAATTCAAACCAATTGTTGGGAGATTTAACTTGTTAGGAAACAAACATTTTAATACGGACACTTCCATGCAAAAAACAAGATCAGTGAAAATACAAATAGTCCATGTTTACATTTCCCAGATGAAGTTCGACACTGAACTGAACTGAGACTTTAACGGCAGCAGGAGCAGATTTTGAACAGATATTTCCCATGCATGTACAGGACAGGATCAGCAAAGTAGAGTGATAGCCATATATAGACACATTACCTCATAGTTATGCATCCTGCAAACTGCTTCGCTCAAGAAAAAGAAAAAGGGTGTGAAAAAATAAAAGTCGCGTCTTCCTTTCACTCTTTTCTAAACTAAAAGCATGCCTTAGCCTGATGAGGTTTTTATGACACCACATGAACGGCTTTTAACCACAGGGGTCGCTGACATAAAGTAAGAGTTCCTCTCAGCTGTTTAAGCAGATGTGATTAGTGCCCAACCCCAGCTGCAGACTGTATTCCTCCTTCTTGCACTTGTTCTATGTGCCCCAGCCTTTTTTCTACTTTATCTAACACTGCAATGTTAGATAATTCTTCTAGAGATGCATTTGTTCATCAGAAGACCTCACCTCAAGACTTGTAGATACAGGGACTATTTTGATCCTTTTCCTTTTGATATGGGACAGGACAAAAAACACAATTCTACACAACACAACGAGAAATCCTAGCCCCTTTCACACATGCATGCCTTAAAATTTCTAGAAAAGGTCCAGGACAGCCTACACGTCTAATTTTCCTGAGTTGCTCGTTCCTCCACATCCAGGCCTCGAAATATTAGCTCTGCAACTCGGCTGTGCTCAGAAACCTTGCTTGCCAATGTCGTTTTATATTATCAAACTTCTAGTGACTGTAAACATACAATCTCCAATAAAAGGGGAGCTGAAATTGAGGTGGGGATTTTAGAAGGCTAAAAATTATTAAGAAAAGACGTGGTTGAAGTCACAGTGTAATGTTACAACATATGTAGGG